ACAAAAGTGGGGGCACTCCCCGTCCTCACCCCACTTCGGTTCCTGCTGGTTTGCCAAACATGAAGAATTCACCTTCTAAAGTTAAAGAGATGGAAGTTTTTGTAGAAACAGGACAAAGGTCATTATGCCATAAATTTTCGAACCTTGGGAGCATAAAATATGTTGACATCATGTAATAAATGATACACTATAAGGTAGTGTATGATATCAGCTTGTAATTTTTTATGTGTATATTTACATTAATATTGAAAAATTCGAATTCGATTGACAGCATTTTACCATCGCTGGTGTGGTGCCAGTGAAAAAAATCTAATCCAGATTAAGGTTATCCACTCCTCAGACAGGAAGGATAACTATTTAAATCATAATTATTTTAAAAATATCAAAAGGAAGCTTGAAATCAAAATATTTTCATGCATCAATTTTCATTTTATGCATTTCAATATGTTTTATGCTTCTTTGAAATCTTAGAAACAGTATTGTAAAAAAGATGACATATTTATCCCTTAAAAGAACAAAAATAAATACATATTTAGACAAATAGAATTTCTTGTAATCTTGCCTTAGATACCAACGCTAATAAGCATGAGATGAAATTATACAAGTGACCTTGATAGAACAAGCTTTTTACACTATGTATTAAATAGAAGAACTAAAATACCGTATTAATATTTAAAGATGCCTAGATATCTAAACTATTTTATCCTAAAAAGAAATATTTGTTGATAATTTTTAATTAGAAAATGCATAGCTGGTGCTTTTATTCGTGTTTCCTGAAAATATATCTGAGATTAGATCATTTTCCCTTTATAATATGATTCACTAATGAAAAAGCTTAAATAAATACCATGGATAAATCACTACTTTGTGAATTCAGAGACATTTTTATGAGCATTTTCAATTACTTAACTGTTGATTTTTAGAACCTTAGGAACGGACTACCTTAATTTTTTCTTACAATAAGTCTGATATTTACTTTTGTTCCATGGGCACAGTCCCATTCAGGAAATGAATATAACTTTCAAATGTCTTCATGACATCCAAGTACGAAAATCATATTGTTTGTGAATTAGCAGCTTCTCGTAAATCAGTCACAATCCATATTTCTGTGAAATTATGTAGTTTTATGTTTTGAGTTTATAAAAAAAAAGCTAAATAAACAGTGATAGTGATATCTTCTTTCTGGGCGCTCGGAAAAAATTCTTATTTAACATCTCTGTATAGTATAAATAATTGTCACAAGGATTAAGAGTGTAGTTCCTTGTTTTGTTTTATCTTTTATCTTTAAGAAGCCATGCACCAAACAAAGGTGTATCGAGCTATTTGATGTATCTTGTTATACAACTATGAAAAACCGGACTATAAATGATTGCTATATTAAACTAAAAGAAAGTGTACACATTACACACATGGACCAATTAAGCTTAAAAATAAGTTATTAAGTACAAGAACTGTATAAATATTTTCTCTTGAAATACATGATTGTATGTCTTTGGAGAATATTTTATTTTTTAGCACCTAAAATATTTGTCTGAGTCATATTGCTTTAAAATTTCTTTTGAAAAGAAGTGTTTAGCATTCTTTTACTTAATCAAGATTTTCAGTGTCTTTAAAGTGAGAATTTTAAATTGCAGTGAATTATTGCAAAACTATTTTAAGATTGAAGGGTCAGTGTTAATAAGAGTCTTTGATGTGCTTAAATATCGTAATTTTAGGTTTTTATTATTTTCTTTTTTTTCAAAGAAGCTTTTTAGAAAAGTAAGTTTCTTTAAAATTCAGGAACATTTCTTGTCATATCTTGTGATTTTTTTGTATGTTTCTTGTTTTCATGTTTTATGGGATTAATCTGTAGGGAAAATAATAGGCCTTGATGAAAGCCTACATTATTTGCTCTGAAATGTCAACAAATCCACAAACATTTCAAAAAGATATTAAGAGTAATATAAATTTAAACTCGTCTGTAATCAATAAATATCAATATTTGAAATACTTCTTTCATACAGGCATGGAATTTGAGACAGTTGTGTCAACACTGCAAGGGGGAACTTTATTTATTTGTGTGTTGGACTAAAATCTTTGTAAACAAAAACGAAACACATCACCCTCTCGTTTTCGTGTCAATAGTTTATACTGCTCTCGACGCAAACAAAAAAACGGGTATTTACAAGGCCGCAAGACAACAGCGCTATCTGATCGCTAGTCTAAATAAATAATTGCAATTTATAGTTTTCCCTTGAAGAGCGATTATTTTTGGCGAACATCGTGACGATGAGTGAACACAAACGATTATACAATATCATTGAAAGAAAAAACCCTGTCAATTAAAAAGTATTACTTTTACGAATATCAAGCTATAGAAGAATAGCTTGGATACTGGGCCAAATATTGCAAGGACTCGTTCCACCCCATTCAGCTTCGGGGAGGTGGATAGATTGTTTATTTCGGGGCTTCAATTATTTATTTTATGATAAAGATTTATGTTTTAGAACTGTTTGTATTCTATTCTCAACAATGTTTGTGTATAGAGTCTCCTTTGATATATCGCTGGCACGATCAATACCAGATTATTTATCTTGCAAAGTAGACATGTAACAACCCTTTTCATGACAATGGTTTCTCTTCGTTAGATGAGATGGTACTAAATTAATTTTCTGTATTTATTTGGTCAGAAATTCTTTTGATGTAATCTTTTCCGTTGTAAGATAAGAGCCTAGTTTTTTTAAAATGTCCTTGCAATACTTTGCACATAAAAATTAAGACTGCAATTTGATATCGTTTGGATTAAACTGATTAGATTTTACAGTTTATCATGTTGGCCTCTTAAAAGATAACAAAAATATGAGTTTTAAATGAATTTTAAGTTTCTCTAATCTTTGTGAGGTAATTCGTCTCGCCTATGTGATGTTTATCTGATTTTGATTAGCTCGTTCATCAATTTAGGTTTTGTCCTCAGACAACACCAAGATGATACAGCTTTACTTGGGGGTGGCGATCAATTTCTTTTTATCTTGGGCCATCGCATAAACTCTTTATTTTATCGCAGATTGTCTTATAAAGTAACACCAATTTGATTTTATTTGGATAATGCATGTTCAAATATTTGGAGTAGGTTTTAATATACATACAAATTAGAATCAATTGATAAAGTAAGAAATTGCAAGTCAGACACAGGTTTTGCACTTTGATTAATGTAATTTTCTACATTACCTCCACGGTGTACCTATCAGACCTGTCTTCAACAAACTCATCGTGAGTCAACAGTTTGTTGAAAGCTAGCGTATGTTTTCAAATACATTAGAAAATGAAAAGGAATTTTTTTAAAATAATCTTTTTTGGTCAAAGATATTTATTAACAAATCTGATTTTATTGTAAAGGAAACCATGGATGATACATCCTCTGGTTTTAGTAAGAGTCAAAGGAGTGTTACTGATTTTTCTGTGGATTTTATTATCTTTTGGGGGATCACTCAGCTAAACCTATCTCAACTCATACAGGGAGAGAGAGAGAAAAAAAAAGAGGGGCATTTAAGGGTAAAGGTTATTAAATTTTAATAAGTTTAAGCTCTCTGATCCCTTGGGACCTGAAAGAGTAATCAAAACCATAAAAATATTTAATTGCAATTCACAAACATCTACTTCTTTAGTCCCAGATTACAAACATATAAACTGTTGACATGATTATAGTAGGCAATGAGCTCTCTACTACAGTTGTGATATTGTGACGTGTGTATTTAGTAGGCAAAAGTTTTTGTGATCATTATAAATACTTAAACATCTACAAAAATTATGAAATTCATGGCCTTTGAACCGATGATTTAGACTTTTGTAATTGGATTAAATTGGCCTTATATTAAAAATGCATTACACTTTTGAAAATCTTCTATACCACTGTACATCTAGCAGGCAAACTGATTCCACGACCACAGTGAGTACTTAACGTTTACGGAATTCGTAAATTCATGGCTCCAGGTTCGAGTATCAAGGCCCCAGAGTGGGGCTAAAGGTCACATATTTAAAATATATTGTATCTATGAAAATATTCTTTTCTAAAAAGAGGATAAACTGAATGTAGGATTAAAATGAATATTAAACCTATACCAAAATTACACATTCATGACCAATGGGTCCAGTGTTCAGACCCAAGAATAGGGTTTAGTTTATCACATTGAAACTACGTAAAATCTTTGAAAATCTTTTCTAAGGAAGTTAGGATTAAATTTAGTACTTTACCATTTACTAAAATTGTAAAATCCGTATTCCCTATGTCTGGAGTTCGGGTCCAAAGGTGGCGCTCAGTTGTTCATATCTTAACCATGGACATCAAGCAGACATTGCTCATAGATATTTAACAAAAATTATGAAATTTATGTCCACGGATCTAGGGAATGGGCCAAAGCTTGTTTGGTGGGCTAATGTCGGCATACAGTGTAAATTGACGTTTATTTTACATTGTACCTTGTCTTTTACTCTTTCACAAGATGCCTGAATATGATAATGATTATAAGTGAGCTAAAGTGATTGTAGTAGCTTGAGATACTCATGATAATCTGGGAACCGTCAATCTGGGCCTCTTTTTCCTCCACCGTTTTGATGATAAAACTTGAAGATATAACGAGATTTTGTTTGTATGGTTTTGGTTATGGTGTGTACGTAGTATTTTGAATAAGAAAAATGTTTTCTTCAAATTAATTTTAAAAAAAAAGAAAGAAAGAAAGAAAGAAAGAAAAGAACTAATTTGAGAATTCTTTTCCATTATTATAAATTGCAAGTCATGCATGATTTTACATATGCGGGGTTATTGTGCAGTAAGAAAAAGACGTTACTGACAATAAATATCATTTACTTGTCAACTTAATCATTTTTTCTGCATCATGACCAGAAAAACTTTAAAAGGTCCTTATTCATCATTATTACATAAGAAATATTACCATTATGTGATTATAGCAATATATTCACGTTATTTGAATTAAAATGTAATTTGCAGCGTTGTGTGATTACAGGATGTATATCAGTGCGATTTTTTGAATTTGGAAATTTACAATGTAGAAGAACCTGTCAAGCTGTTCCACACCTTATCATCACCAATTTCTCGTCTACCATCTTGTGTGTTCAACGTCATCATTTTCTGCCTACTTCTGGAATATTTTCCCAGCTCCCAACAGAGATGGAAATGTTGTGTACAAGCTCACAAACTTTTAGCGCCAGATGGACTTCTCGTCATAATATCTCCAGACTCCCATAAACAACACAGGAATTCATCAATGATTCGCAGCTGGATCACCGCAATAACATCATTGGGTTTCTCTAAATGGAAATACGAAAAACTGGAACATATACATTGCATAGTATTTCGGAAAATGGAAGATGAATGTTGTGTGACAGATGATATGGCAGAACTCATGTACATACATCAAGATGCCTTAAAGGAGGATTTAGGGGATGACAACACCGGGCACAATAATCCTGTCGTAGAAAGAGATAACGAAGAAATTAGACAAGCAATGTTAGAATTACCTGGGCTTCCGCTAGATTTCGAGGATTGACAAAAATACCATTTTGAAATCAAGCTTTTATTGGAATAAAAAAAAAATGATGTATTGCTTTGTTATGAACTAAACTTTTGGCAATTATTGTCTATTGTAGATTTTTTTGTTAATACACATGATGAACATGTTCTTTCCTAAATTATACATGTTACGAAATACCATGCCGAATGCAACATGTTTGGAGCGTCTGCTTTCTTAAGAGCCGGAACTACTTTCAGTGGTTTGTTTACCTAGTCCCCAGATGACCCCTTGACTTGATCAACATTTGTTTATGAATTTTGTGCTTGCTAGCAGTCTATTTATCTAAACGAATTCAAACTTGATAGCAGATGGCCGTATATAAACATTTTATACTGTGTTTCTCTTGGATACATAATGTGTCAACAACGCTCTAAATATCGGCAATGTTTACCTAACATTTCGCGCACCGCGAGTCAACAAAAATGAAATTACACGATAAAGTTCTGACTAGGGTATTAATATTTCAATTTTGTTTAATTCTAAAAGCACCATCATGCAAGTTTGCATTTGGGATTAAGTTATGTCTTACTCATTACAAATGTGCGCTTTTCTGTGTTTATTAGTTTTTGTTGTTTAGCTGATAAGAGAATATTTGTTGTAAGGGTGCGTGTTATGCATGTAACCCTCTCAAACAGCGCTCATACAAACAATTTATGGTCCACTTTTTAGTTTCTTATCCTTTTGCAGGAAAGGAGAAGTGTCTGGGTTAACTAACACCTCATAGATTTGACATTTTCTGGTTACAAACAGTAAAAACTTGTAAAGTTATAATAATAAACTGTTATTATAATTCCTATAAAGAAAATTCGAGTCATATAATTTAAGCTATATTGTTAGTACCATGCATTTGTTATTTAAAGCTTCATAATCTTTCATCACCATTTTATCTACCAAATTGAATTGCAAAATTTCTGAAAAATTATTTTAATCAGTTTTTGTAGAAGTATAAACTCTGTATATCAATATGAAGTTGACACAGTGCGACTTTTTTAATATTAAAAAAAATTACTTTCTATATAATATAGTCTTAACCAATGTTATTTTTAGTTTTTTGACATGTTTTGATCTAGAATATCTTAACCATTTCTTTTTTTCATTTTACACTTTGCCCAATATTTTTTTCATGTAATAAAAAAGAAACTGAGCAACTTTTTGAGATACTTCTTATTGTTTAATGGTAACGAAATTTTGTACTTGTAATAAGTACATGTAAGTATTCTTTTTTTCTCCAACCTTGATACATTTCAAAACAAAATACACGATAATCAAAAGTGACTGAATAGTAATGTGCATATACAAATTTTAATAATAGTCGAAAAATATCTGAATCAAAAGACATGTAATTAATTTTGAATGAGAGTAAACACAAAATTAAGAAAATGATTTTAAAAAACGATTTTTGTGTAGTTCCCGTCTGAGATTAGTCAAAAGCGAGGTAACTCTTAGAGAATACGATCGACTTCCTCTTTTCTTCTTTTAAGATTTATATTTAAAAACGTCCGTATTGAGATGCTTCTTAATCTCTTAAATTTTAGAAAATGTGAAGAAAAAAATTAATTAATAACCCAGTTGTCCAAAATAGGCTAAATAAGGGAATAAGATAAACAATTTTCGTAGTTGAGATTCGTCAACTTCCTAGTGGGTGATAGAGAGAAAACCGAAGGTTCCTTGTTCGTTTATGTAAAGATATATTTGGTCACATTAAATGGATATTGAATAACATTATTCATCATACATGTAGCCACTTCAATACACAATAATTTGAGAGAGTTTTATTTTGCATTTTTTATTACTTTCCAGTCCCGTACTTTTGTTTTATTTAATTATTCAATTAATGTGTTATTTTTTTTTAAATAGAGAAAGTTATAAAGAATTTGCATAGAAAGATTGAGGCATATTCGTAATGCAAATAATTTTTCTTCTTTGATATGTGAATTTTAGTTTATTAGGCCTACAATTACTTTTCTTTACCAGATCTCTCTTCTTTTTTAATGTTTTGTACCACACAATACAAAGTAGACGGCGAAATATTTGGTGTTTCAGAAATATCACCAGATTTATCAATACCCTACTAAGTAATAGCTTAAATAGCCAATCAGCAGACAATAGGGAGTATATAAAATAAATGGGAATCTATTCATGAAAACTGCGTGTATCATTAGAAAGTACGGGGTATTGTCATGAAATAAAATATTGTAACACTATAACTACTAACTAATTATATCACATCCTATGGATATTTATCATGGCAATTGATTCTAAAATTGATATCTTTTATAAAAATTACTCTGATTTTGTTCTTTCAACTACTTAAAGATTGCCAAACTACTTACCAATATACCATTCATAATCATTGTTTTCATTTCTTGTAAAGATTTATTTTTCAAAGAAAAAGTCCGAACTATCTGACGTTTTCCAGGCGTTTTTCACGATTTTGATATTTTACGTGCCAGGAAAACGTCAGAACCGGCGTCGATATGAAAAGTGGAACCAATTGAAGTCGATTTTTGATACTTGCAAATCGAATTAAATTTCAAACTCACAGCTTATCAATAGCACAATGCTTCTAGTTCTCACCAATATCGCTTAAAAGAAAATATCACTCCACATTTCAATTCAGGTCTCACGAGATTTCAAAATGAACGAATCAAAACAAACCTCGACAGTCTGATAAAATGTTTTCACCAGACACTTAATATTACAAAGGAACAATAAAAGCGATATTGGTATGTACTAGAAGCACTGTACTGTTGGTAAGATTTGAGTTAGAGATTTAATTTGGTTTGCATGCATCGAAAATTGACCCGAGAATGCGAATTTCAACTTTTCATAATGCCCCCCCCCCCTTCTGACGTTTTCTTGGCACGTAAAATAAAAAAATCGTGAAAAACGCCTGGAAAACTTCAGATATTTCGGACGAGGTGAAAAAGGAACTATATTGGCGAAATGTTATAAACATCTCTTATAGGAATTTTGACGGAAAAGTAGGCAGAGCCATGCACAGAAGTTTCGGTTGTCGGCGTGCGTCGTGTGTTAACATTTGAACATTTTTAGCTTCTTCTCTGAAACCGCTTAACCAATTTCAACTAAATTAAGCATATAGCATTTATGGGTGAAGGGGAACAAAAATTGTGAATTTCATGGTCCCTGCCCACCTGGGGCCTCAGGGGTGGGGCTAAAACCACCAAAAATAATGCAATCTTTTAAAATCTTCTTCTTTACTCCTGGACATCAAGCAGTCAAACTGTTGGCATCATTGTAATAAGCATTGAGCCTTCTACCAAAATTGTGAAATTCATGGCCCCAGGGTCAGGGGTTCTGGCCCCAGGGTGGGGCTATATAGATCATATAGTGAAAGTGCATTATTTCTTTGAAAATCTTCTTTTCTGCTCCTGGGTATTAAATAAAGTAACTAAGTACATAGTTATGAAGAGCAAGAGTGCCTTTTCCAAAATTGTGAAATTCATGGCCCCAGGGTCAGGGGTTCTGGTGTTAGGGCGGGGCTCTATTGATTATATAGTGAAAATGCATTGATTCTTTGAAAATCTTCTTCTCTGCCACTGGAGATTATTTAAACAAACTAAATGCATGGTTATGATGCATAAGGATGCCTCTTCAAAAATTGTGAATTTCATGGCCCCAGGGTCGGGGTTCTGGTGTTAGGGCGGGGCTCTATTGATTATATAGTGAAAATGCATTGATTCTTTGAAAATCTTTTTTTCTCTGGTACTGGAGATTATTTAAACAAACTAAGTGCATGATTATGATAGGCAAGGATGCCTCTTCCAAAATTTTTAAATGTATGGCCTCAGTTTTTGGGGTTCTTGAGGAGGGGGGGGGGGGGACTCTATTGATTATATAGTGAAAAAGCATTAATTCTATTAATTAATCATTAATTAATCCTGTCTGTTCCTTAGTGTTAAGCTGATAAATAAATTGCTGAGCTATTATGAAAATGGGAGCTTCGAACAGAATTTTTAAATCTTGTGGTTCTAGGTTCAGGGGTTCTGGCATAACGAAGGGGGGGGGGGGCTTTTGATAATATAGTGGAAAAGTGTTAATTCTTTGAAGTTCATAGTTATGATGATGAGGGTAACTCTTCCAAATTTGTAAATTTCATGACCCTTGGTGTTGGGTTCTGGTGTCAGGGTAAGGCTTTGTTGAATCTGTAGTGAAAATGCATTGTACCTGTGAAATTCTTCTCTGCTTCTGGGCATATCGGAAGCAAACTGAGTAAAAGTTTAAATGATATAAGTAAGCGTATTTCTACCAGATTTTTTAACATCTGGACAATTTTCTTAGCATTCTGGACCTGGGCAGGGCTCTATTAATTTGTATTCTACTGAGAGAAGTTATTCCCCTTTTCCATTTACCTTTGATAATTTATGACTGTAAATAATGTATTTGAAAAGTTAATAGAATAAGATAATTATGCAAGAATGTTTATCGTATAATTCAAGAAGTACTTTCTTAGTTTTAATAATCAGGTAGACCTGTAAGTAATAGATAAATAAAAATGAGACAAAAATAACTTATCTTATTAAAAGTTCTTCAAAGACCATAAGAGAGGTCAATGCTAGAGGTCTTAATATGGGTTTAAAAATGGTACAGAAGCACTAATAGTTTGTTAATAGCATGGTGATAGTGTTAAGTGGGGGACAGATTAGAACTTAATTTATGAGTTGATACTGAATACTATGCTAATTATTTTGTTGATCTTGATCTTCCTACTTCTCTTGCTTTAGGGCCACAAAGCTTCATCTATCAGTGTATTTAACTTCTAAATTGTTGTATTATACTCAGGTGACCGTTAAGGCCCTTGGACCTCTTGGTTGTTTTTTTTTTTCAGAAAACTGTTTACAACGATGCACTTTAATTGTGATTTTTTTATCATAAAAATGTAATTGATTGTTCATCAGGAAAAAATGGAAAGTAGACTTCAAAGGCACAGTATTTAAGCAAAGAAGCAGTTTATATGTTCCAAGTAAGTCGTTTTCTTGCGTTATATATTACAAATATAGATGTTTCATCCAAACAATTACAGTATTTTTTTGATTCCAGCTTACTTCACAGATTTTAACTATGGGAGTGCTCTTAGTTGATTAATAATTCATTTACCACCCCCACCCCCCAAAAAAACTGATAAAGGCGTTCTTGGAAGGCATATATACTGAACAATATCTCATGAAGAACCAAGTGGTTCTTGTCTTGAAACAGATCTAACTAAGTATGTTTTTGAAAAGTGCTTCCTTCCTTACAAAAATGTTTTGTGGTTAAAAAAAAAAGAAAACAAAAACATTATAATGACTATTTTTTTTTTATTATTTCAAGCAAATTAATTGAGATACTTTAAGTACTTTGCATTTTAAATAACAAATGTTGCTTAAAAATGCAAAAACACAAATATGTTTACAAAGGTTTGTGAACTAGTAAGTAATAAATAAAAAAAAAAAGACTTACTATGGCGTGTGTAGCAGCATTGAGTAGACGGAATGAGGACCAATATAAAGTGACCAATAGCTAATATAATGTACGCAGTTATTCAATTTGTCGGGGGGGGGGGGGGTGAGGGGGGTTCCTCCAAGTTAGAGCAAGAGCCCCTTTTGAAGCCCAAAATTTGTTAAAAGATGAATGAAACCTTCCCAAACCGATCCTTTTCTAGAGTAGGTCTGCCTTAAATCTTGACCATATTATCAATGAATTTTGCTAAAACTTTTTTAATTATATTGGAATGGGTCTTCATCAGTAAAAAAGATTTACAAACTTTTATACTTTGGACATTAAATTAATCGATTAACTTGACTCTGTAATGAGATTTTTTTTCCCCCATATTTTCACTTATTTAAACCTCTGTCATATTTACCCCAAGAAATCCTTTTAATTTTATGACAAACTTTGCAGGTTTGGT